CAAGTCCCTCTGCAGCTCTCTTGGAGCCCCTTTAGGCACTGGAAGGGGCTCTAAGGTCTCCCTGAAGGTTTCCCTTCTCCAGGCTGAAGACCCCCAGCTCTCAGCCTTTCATAGTATGTTAAGAGGTTGGAATGGAGCTTAGCGATCATCCAGCCCCAACCCCCTGCCCTGGGCAGGGACACTCCCACCAGAACAGGTTGCTCAAGGCGTCATCCAACCTGGCTTTGAACAGTGCCAAGGTTGAGGCAGCCACAGCCTCCCTGGGCAACCTGTGCTGGTGTCACAGGGAGTGGGATGCAAAGACAAACTACCTGACTGCAGGGTCTGAGATCCCTCTCAACAAAGCACTCCAAAATCAGTTTATTTACACCCTGAATTGTCTGTGCCATTTGTAAAGAGCTCAGAAGTGCTTTACTAACTCACAGGGTTGACTCTGTTCCAGGCTATGCTGCTCACACTGTGACTGTGGGTTAAATCACACGTGTATGCCCACAGCCGGTCCAGTCTGGGACCTACAGGTTCTCCTGGGCATTTTTTGAGGTGTGGCAAAACTGGTGGCATAAAGAATGCTTCATTCTGCTCTTCCTCATCCTTCTTTTCCTTGTCGTGCTCTTCCTCTTCAGCTTCTTCCATGGCTGCTGCTGTACCACTAGTGTCTAAGGTAACATCAGGGTCTAAAATGCACAGGTAGAGTCTGAGCCAGAACATTGCATCTCCACTTATTCACAGCAGAAGAAAAATTTGCCCTTTCAGCACATATTTCATAGGGGGAAAAAAGAAGATTTGAGGAGTTAAGACATCCTAACCTCTAATACTCCGGCTTAAATGTTGATGGGGACATGAAAGATGTCTAGACCAGGCTGTGGTGTGCTGCAGGTGTTTAATGAGGGTATTTAACTACCCACCAACAAGTTAGGAATTTATATCCAAACCCACCAAGAATGTTTCTATTCCTTATTCTTTTAAAGTGCTTTGGAGTTAGATGCCAATGCATTGACACTGTCACACCATAGCTGAGTTCCAGGATGGAATGAGTGGTCATTACTTGGGAGAATTAAAAGTTGAGCATATTTTTAGACTGTTTGCTAAGTCTTTTTTGTTTATTCGCTCCTTTATGTAATGTGCAAATTGATCTGAGATCTCTGTTAACAGAATAAGAAACACAACAACTGCCACAGTGTCAGAGCAAAACTCCTCCTGGGCACTATCCTGCTCCAGCTGTAGCCAGTTCAGGAGTGACAGAACACAATGGGTTTCTTGCCTGAGAAACTGAAACTCTCCAGGACATGAAGTACAATACAATAAAACCAATGTGAATCTGCTCTTAAATCTCTGTGTTCACTTGGAACTCCTATCAAAGGTAAACTGTTACTTGGCACTTGGGTCCAGGTAGTGTCTTACAGTCTGCAATGGATGTAGAGTTATAGAATCCAGAATCCCAGACTGGTTTGGGTTGAAAAGGACTTTAAAGATCATCCAGTTCCACCCCTTGCCATGGGCAGAGATACCTTCCACTAGCCCAGGTTGCTCCAAGTCCCATCCAGCCTGGCCTGGAACACTCCCAGGGATGGAGCAGCCACAGCTGCTCTGGGCAACCTGTGCCAGTGCCTCAGCACCCCCACAGTCAAGAATTCCTTCCCAATATCCCATCTAAATCTCCACCTTTCCAGTGGGAAGTCATTCCCTGTGTCCTGTCCCTCCAGGCCCTTGTCACAAGTCCCTCTGCAGCTCTCTTGGAGCCCCTTTAGGCACTGGAAGGGGCTCTAATTTTTCCAGTGGGGATAACAGGGCAGGAGAGACAGATAACAATGACATGAGACTGTCAGGGATTTTCCTAAAGGATTAAGTCCTCAGCAAAGTGCTGGTGCTATAAGGCTAAGGGACACACACAACTCCCTGACTTCAATAGGATGCAAAGCCTTGTGCTGGAAACACGTGAGTCAATGAGGGACAAACCTATCAGGACTGGAAACTGCTGATAAGCTGCAAGTTTGGGTTGAAAAATATTCTCCATTAGGATCCTCTCCATGACAAATAAATCCTGCTGGAAGTTTTCTGATGTTAGGATAACTTCTGTCTGGCACTTCTCTGCTTCATGGCTCCAGGCAGGAGCAGCACTTTCTGGAATCATTATAGAGAGAGGAAAAAACTGGTATTAACATGATGATACTTGGCACATAGAAGTTGAGGGGATGAGACTTCACCTCCAAAAAGCACAGAAGGATCTGTCATCACCAAAAAATAGTTTTACTATGAATGTTTTCTTGCTTAATTTGGTTTCTTTCATTGCTCAGATACTCAGGATAATGAGATACTTGTGGAATGTGTTGCAAATGGTGTTTTGCTGCTTCTGTCCTGAGTGAGTGAGTACCAGCACACCTTGTCCCTGATATTTACCTTTATTGAAGATCATTTTTGATGGCCTCAGTGCAGCCCTGGCCAAGATTCTCTAACAAACTCTCAGGCGCCAGGCAGGCCCAGGATGTTCTTCAGTGAGTTTTCCCCACACAACATAGGGATGTGTGTGGTTTAGGAGGATGAAAACAGGGCAGAAATGTAAAATGTTACCTCTGTCAGAAGTGACAAACACAGTCTGGTTGTCGTCTTTAGCTCTGGGAGATTTGCTGCTTGTCCCTTCTGCCCTTGATGTAGGTTCTGTTTTCAGTGCATTCAAGGAGTTGTCCAAGTCCCAGGAAGTGACCATCGTCCCTGGGAATGAATTCCACTGGGTTACCCAAGTCTCATTTTGGTACATCATTACACTGCATACACTGAGCAAATATTTCCTGTGTGTTCCACACCCCAGGTGCTGGGCAGAAGGGATTTGGGACAATCTGAGGGTTGGACAGGGCTGGAGCAGCAGCTGTTGTGTGACTTTGAGGGTCTTTTGTGTGTGTGTGTGTGTGTGATCATGCCCTGAGCAGGGCCAATTCCCACCCCAGCAGTGCTCTGGACCCTGTGTGTGCTCAGCTCTTCACACAATGGTTGGAATGAGCTCTGCTGATGCCCAAGGCACATGAAGATTTGTGGAGAATAAGTTTTCAAATCAGATTGTTATCTATTTTACTTCCCCTTTTCTTTTTTCCACTCATTTTACATACACCAACAAACATAAAGGTGTTTGGAACAGGATTTCCCATGGTTTTCCTTGGCCTTCTACACACAAAAATATCCACAGTGAGGCAAAGCTCATGCACTAGATACTCCTTTACAATGTCTTTTAGAGAATTGAGGTTTTACATGTAGTAAAATTGCATCAGTCTGGTGAGACTGCCAAGGTGTTCTGCTTTCCACAAGGATTTAAACCCCATCTCAGAGGTTCTTTTCTTTGCATTGTGGGAAACAGAGCTAGAAACCAACTGAAAAGTTAGAGGGAGGAAAACAGAACCGTGTCCTTCCTTGTTTCAACAGAAGAGCTGAGGATGAGCTGGAGAAGCTCTGCTAGCAGAGGACAGAGGCAGGCATGACACAGCAGCTCTTGCTGGTGTTAATGACTCCTAAAACTCAAGTTTCAGGAGGGCCAGAAAAAGCCACCACAAGTCCCTGTCTGAACTCAAAGCTCTGGAAGCGAATGTGGAGGTAACATCTCCTGCTTTGAGATGGAAGAAAGGATAAAGCCCTTTCCTGAGTAACCTGCCTGGATGCAGGAAGTCTTTGGAGGTTTACCTTTCTCTTCCATGAGGATTGTCTCACATTGCACTTCCTTGTTCTTGGCAGCTCCATTGAGGGTTTGCGACATTTTATCTCTAAATTGATCACTGCCAGATTTAGTTTCGCAAAGGTCAAGGTAAGTCTTGTTCCTCGCCCTTGGAAACAAAGCAAACAGGGAATATTCATCTCTGGAAAACTTCTGCATTCAGATTCTCAGTGTTTTTAATTATGAGTTGAACAGGCGAGGAGACTCCATGTCAAAGTTGGGTTGCTAGGTGTTATGTCACTCTATGCATTGTCTTTGAACAACTATTTCTGATCTTGTGATACTGCTATAAACCAGGAATGGGCTGTGGAGAGCAGGACCTGCAAAAATCCCTACTCCAATTCCCTGTGAACTTTGTGGGGGATTCAGAGGAGCTCAGAAATCCATAGCTCTCAACACTTGGGAGTGAAAGGCACAGCATCCAAGAGACAAAGGGAAGCTGCTCCACTGCTATTTCATCCAACCCTCAGGTTCTGTAGGAACAGTCAATGAGAATTGTGAAGCAGCTTATATGTCTTTGATTTCACTATGGAACAACAAACATGGGTCCTCCCCCACCCCTGCTGTGCTTCGGAAGGGTCACCAACTGTTCCTGTATAGTAGTCAGTATGTGCTAAGCCATTCATTGGATGCTCTTCCTCTTCCTTTTTCTCAAAACCCCACAGCAGTGTGATTCACAGTGAGGTTGGAGCCCTACCATGAGCTTTGTGTGGTTACCAGCAGAAAGAACTCCAAGAAGCTGGAGAGGGACCTGGGCTAATAGAAGTCCCTACAGAGGGACTCTTGGATAGTAACTAGAGTGATAGGACAGGGAGTCATGGGGATAAATTGAAATAGGGAGCTTTAGATTAGATCTTAGGAATAAGTTTTTCCTATGAGGTTGGTGAGACAATATACCATGAGCTTTGTGTGGTTACCAGCAGAAAGAACTCCAAGAAGCTGGAGAGGGACCTGGGCTAATAGAAGTCCCTACAGAGGGACTCTTGGATAGTAACTAGAGTGATAGGACAGGGAGTCATGGGGATAAATTGAAATAGGGAGCTTTAGATTAGATCTTAGGAATAAGTTTTTCCTATGAGGTTGGTGAGACAATAGTACAGGTTGCCCAGCTGTGGCTTGGCTGCTCTATGCCTGGAAGTGTTCCAGGCCAGGTTGGATGGGGCTTGGAGCAACCTGGTCTGGTAGAAGGTGTCCCTGCTCAGGGCAGGGGTTGGGACTGGATGATCTCTAAGGTCCATTCCAACCCGTCAACACATTATGATGCTATGAAATACTGTGAAACTATCTTGCCAGCTGCAGCTTGTGGGGCTTTGTGCCTACAAGAGCTGTGTGTCAAGCCTATCCATCATGGAGAGGACTTTGCTGCACTCTGTCCCAGTCAGCCCCTGGGAATAAGCCAAAATCTGTGTTCTGGGCTAACTCCCTACCAGAACTCCTAGGAGTCCAGGGAGTACTCTGAAGCGGAAACACCATGTTATGGGGTGAGGTTTCTTCTAGGTAGAAGCTCTGTGAAGAGCCCCAGAGGAGGCCATGCCTGCTGTGTTTCTATCTTCTTCATTAATAAATAATTAGCTGTAAAGCCACACACAAGAACCAATGCAGATTTGTGATTTCTAGCTGTTTTCATGAGCATTAAATGATGTAATTTCTATTTACCACATTTCTCTTTCCCCATCTCCTGCCCTGCCTTAAATTGTCAGTGAAAGAGACTATGAATTCCATCAACACAATGGAGTTGTAAAGAATTTAGGCTGTCTTGGCAAGTAGGGCCTTGAGGCTTTGAACACAGGTGCAATGTGTGTGCTGAGCATACCACATGCATGTACCCAACCACCAATATACCTACAGAACTCTCTCAGCATCTTCTGCTTCTGTAGACACCATAACAGATGCCATATCCAACATCCACATTGTGTCTGTCTCTGAGAGGTAAATATCCACTCTGTGATCCAAGTCTGCTTCTGTCAGTGCTTCTTTCATCTCTTCTTGCCTCACCTGCACAGCTGAAATGTGAGGAGAACAAGTGAGACGTTTTCTGCTCTAAAATCAAAAGAAGCCTGGAGAAGAAAAGGTTGTGTGGAGACCTCAGAGCACCTTCCAGTATCTGAAGGGGCTCCAGGGAAGCTGCAGAGGGACTCTGTGTTAGGAACTGCAGTGAAAGAACAAGGAGTAATGGGGAGAAATTGAAAGAGGAAAATTCAGATTAGATTTAGGCAGAAGTTTTCTGTAGGAGTGTGGTGAGACACTGGCACAAGTTGTCCAGGGAGGCTGTGGCTGCCCCAACCCTGGTAATGTTCAAAGCCAGGTTGGATAAAGCCTTGAGCAAACTGCTCTGGGGGGAGGGTTGCCCAGGGCAGAGGGTTGGGGCTGGGTGATCTCTAAGGGCCATTCCAACCCCTTAACAATCTATGATTCTATGAGATAGATTAATTCAAAAAGTATTGTAACGATTAGAGCCAATAGCTGTGAGGCACTGAGCAACTCTGGAGTGCTGGACTGACACTCTCACAAATCCCAGTGCACCAAGGAACTGCTTAAATCTCTCATTATAGTGTGTGTTCTTTACCAGATGAGCTCAAAGTTGGGTCTTGCCCAGAGCCAGGTTCTACTGTTCCATCTCCAGCAGACTTGCTTGTTGGTGCATTTGATATCCAAGTGCTGCTGCTTCCATGTGCCCTTCAGTGACAAAAAATTAGGAAAAATAGATTGTGAGTCCAGATGTCACTTAGCAAAGCACCTGAGGCATAAAATAGCTAATGTAAAAGAACTACTGAGCTCTTGGATTGAGTCTTAGCCTGGAGAAAATGAGGTTCAGAGGGAACCTTTTAGCTTTCTGCAACTCCCTGACAGCAGGTGGTAAAGCCAGGTGGGGATCAGGCTCTGCTCCCAGGGAACAAGGGGCAGGACAGGAGGAAACAGCCTCAAGCTGCACCAGGAGAGGTTCAGCTTGGACATCAGGAAGACTTTCTTTGGGAAAAGGGCTGTAAAGCACTGCAATGTGCTGCCCAGGGCAGTGGTGGAGTCACTATCCCTGGAGGGATTTAACAGCCATGTGGTTGTGGCACTTGGGGACATGGCACAGGTGACCATGGTGGTGGTGTTGGTTTATGGTTGGACTTGATGATCTTAAGGTTCTTTTCCAACATTAATGATCCCATGATTCTATGGAATAATATTCTATATTCTACATAGAATATTCTGTAATAGCTTGAAGTTTTGGGTGCCTCCTGGGTGATAGCAAATACCCATAGACAGCACCAGTGCCCACCAGATTCAGATCCTCTGGTGCTTTGCATGCGCTGAAATATCTTTGAAATGCACAACATGAAGGGATTAACTTGTTAAAACCAGATGTGGTGCTAAAAGAGGGAAGAGCTGTGATTACTAGAAGTAAAACTCAAAACCTGGGTACAGTTGGGAGGTTTTTCAGCTGATTTTCTCGCCCTCAACAGCTAAGTTTGAATAATTACACCAAAAGCAGTTGAAAAAAAGAGACAATTGAAAATATTTGTACTTAAAACTGAAGATAAACAATCTAATTTTCCCTTCTAAAACATGAGCTTCTGACTCCTGAAAGGATGTGTGTCTTTTTCAGGGGATACATTGTATTTTTAAGTCATTTTTAATGTATATTTCCTCCTGGTTGGTTATCCTTGCTAACAACCAGTTTGGGAAACATGGCAAAACTAGTTCTTCAGGAGCAATCTCGGAAATCACAATTCCAACTATTTATTTTTGTTATCCAGTTGCCTTTTGATCAAGTGATGTGGCTCAGGATTTTCCATTCTAAACCCAAACAGTTATTGACCTTCTTTTGCATGACTTAATTGAATTTGTCAGCCCAAAGATAACTCAATCCATTGACTTTGTTCATTCCCTCTGTGTTGGAGGTTGGAAATGAAAGTAAATACATAGTGCAACATGTAATTTAGTAGTTTTAACTGAAAAGATTTGGAACAAGAGCATATTTTGAAGTGGATGCATAGAATTAGACAGAGGTAAGTTGCTTAAATCAGTTCAAAAGACAGAATTTTTCTTATGTTAACAATATTTTCCTATTTCAACTGATATTTTGTGCTTGCTATTTTAATTTAATTTGATATTTTAATTGCTTTTTTTTTTTCTATTTGGGAAAAAACATTATCTGCACTTCATAAGTATCGCTAAAACAGACAAAATACTTTAAAACAGATTCCTGACTCCTACTGAAACAGCAACAGTGACTTACCTGTGGTGCAAACCTGTTGCAGCAGTCCCTGCTGGTGTCTGCTGCATGGAAAAAGGAGGGAGACAAACAGATCCAAAGGCCCCAAGGGTAGAGCTTGGAGCTAAGGGTTTGCCTGGTCTGGGTGCAGCAGTGTTTGGGTCTGCCTGGAAAAGGGGATGAGGTGTCACATCCTTCCCTTCAGCATCAAAAACCTGAGGAAATAATTAATGAGAATATATTCCTTATGT